AAACTAGATTAAATGAACATAAGAGCAACATCAGGGCGGACCCGTCAAGACATTCTGTGATTTCCGAACATACCACAAAATTCAATCACACTTTCGATTGGGATAATACATCGATACTCGATTCCGAACCTAATTTTCATAAGAGACTCATTTCAGAGATGCTACATATTAAAAAACAAAAAACGGGATCAACTCTAATACGGACACAAAATTTCTTGATGACTCATATTTCAGTCACAAGTTTTAAAGAATGTTCGGTTACATTGTTGTTTGTTTATAACTCTGCTCGTCCCGACAATCCGCGCAGTCATCTGACATCCGCGAAACGAGAAAAAGCATTACATAGCACATTTTACGTCCTGACGAATACATGTAAGTTTCAACGGTTTTATACTTACGACAATCATCTCAGTTATACACGATCTTTACAGAAAAACCTTTTTATATTCTGACCACACATTCTGAGAACAATTATGGACCGGACCCGATTTATTCTCGCCTCCGAACGAAGACTCAATTACGTAATTTCACTGACTACATTTCATCTCTGACTTTGACTTCGTAGATGCATCGACATAGACTTCAGTATGTATTTGTTAGACAATCGAATGGTGATGTGGCTCGATAGGCTTAAGAAATTTATAATAGTATTGTAACACGACGAATTCTACATGTTAATTAATTACCACGGCTGAAGAAAACTCAGTGAAGTCGAAACGTTCCGTTCTATGTATATATACCAATTAATTATATGTTTTTAAACATCCTTTAATGCTCGTTTATTGGCCTTGTTTTTTCTATTCAATTTTCAATTTATACGAGCGTAGTTACTTTTTATTTATTTATTACTTTGCACTTTTTACAAGCGTGAAAAAATTGCAAGTTTTGCAAATTTTACGATGTGCTTCAAATGTCTTCCCTTATCCAAATATAAATTTGCAACCCTCTACTATAATTACGCAAATTATTATAACTTATTAATGACTAATTTTGTGTTACAAAATTAATACAAAAGTATTGCAAATCCAGGGAAACAAATTAAAAATATATTTACACATAATGTCGAATTTGCAACCTCCTACTTGTCACGCAAAATATTCAAATCAAATATATACGACGTTACATGATGCTCAATACTACGAGGCCCCGATGGTTGCTTCGCACCTGTGTATGAGGCTTTTTAGTTTTCTATTATGTTGTTGTGGTGCGTGACAATAGAAAGAAAAATATATTTGATTTGAATATTTTGCGCGTGACAGATAGAAGGTTGCAAATTCGACATACGACATTATGTGTAAATGTATTTTTAATTTGTTTCCCTGAATTTGCAACACTTTTGCATTAATTTTGTAACACAAAATTAGTCATTAATAAGTTGCAATAATTTGCGTAATTATAGTAGAAGGTTGCAAATTTATATTCGGATAGGGGAAGACATTTGAAGCACTCCGTAAAATTTGCAAAACTTTTGCAATTTTTTTACGCTTGTAAAAAGTGCAAAATAATAATTGTTACTAATTTTTCAAGGTTGCGGATCTTGTCCGAGGTTGCAAACTTAACAGCTTGTGACGAATAATAATCTCAACGTTTGCAACCATTGCAATTTGCAAAACTTTTGCAATTTTTTTGGCAAAATTACGACTAAATAAACAATTGTTCCATCATTGATTAAAAAAAAATATGTTGTGTGTAACATAGAAGGTTGTAAATTGGTACAGCTGTTCGGGGCAGTTGTAAAAGTTATTCTATCGGTTTGCAGCATTTTTGCAATTTTTTCCTCTAAGTTACAAACAAAAACGTTATTTTATAAAAAATTTCAATGTTGCGCGCCTCGAAATAGGTTGCAAATCTAATACATTGCGGAAAATATTACAATAGACATTGCTTTAAGTTTGCAGGACTTTCGCAATTTTTTTCGTAAAGTTATAATAAATTAACGTTTTTTTGCAATGTTTAGCATGTTCCGGACCTCGGGGATGGTTGCAAAATAAGATTTATTGTTATTTCAACTCGCCCAATATTCCATCAAAATTTGAAAACTTTTGTAATTAAAGTTAAATTTTCGAATTTTAGTGTCTTTACTGACTGGCCTAGGCGGTCAGCAAGAGAGCTTGTGAGGAAATAATCTCTTTAGATTTCTCGCTAAAATTCCTACGCTCCTTGCTCTCTAATTCAAACGTGACTTACAACATAAGGGTATTGAAATTGTGTTAAATATAATGAGAAGCACAAAAAACGTCGCTGCAAAACTCATGGAAACATATGGAGATATAATGGAACTAGTGATATTAAGTAAGAACGATATCGTGCAGAACAAGGAAATCAAGGAATTAACATAAAAAATATGTAATTTGCAACATGCATCTGCATACTTTTTCTTAAAAGCAACTATGTCTTTTTTTCGTACCAATTGATTCGTTCATTATTCTGTGCATAAAAGTATTAAGGTAACATTATCGAAAACTTAATGTTTTACAAGATATTTTGTATTTTATGTCAAAATACTAGAACTTTCAAGCCTAACAATTCCAAAAGTTCTTAATAAAAAAAATACTTTATTATAGTGTATTGAAAAGCTCTCGAGATTAGCTACAAGAATATATATGCATTAAAAAATAGGGGTTTTTATTTAAGAAATTAAAGAACCTTCACGTGATCTTCAAACGTTTATCTAAGGTCAAACTAATGACACCATCTCATGTGCCCCTCGAAACCGTACAACTTTTGTCTGAAAAATTTTTGCTGAAAATGCTTCGTTAAAGAATTATCGAGGTGCGTTTTTTTAAATGGGACACCCTGTATATATATATAACTATACATAGACTATATTAATTGTATAATCCAATTGTAATTTTACTTTTTGTGAAATAAAACAATGTAAAAGTTATATTTCTTATTATTTTTCAATTATTCTACTTATTTTTCCTACATAGTATCGTTATAGTATTGTTATGGACAAAGATTAAACAAAAGAAAGAAAACATATAGGCATATTTCATATATAATTACAGTATATGAAAATTTTTTCCTGAATAGACATGTTTATCAGGTAATTGAATAATTGAGAGTTCTGTTTTAAAATATTGTAACTCTATGCAATCATTTTAATATTCATTATAAAGTTCCTCATATAAGGACAGCGATCATTGGACAGTAGAAATTTTCGTCTGCAATAACTTACAAAGTGTACACATTTAATACACTTAATTACTAAGTTTGATATCAAGACGTACATCTACTTGCGCTTGGATTTGACAATAAAGATCTTAAATACATATGTAGCAAACAACTTACGAGTAACGCGATAATATACAAAGCACAGGATGATTATATATTCAAGACTCCTCCGATGAGAAGAGAATATAAAAATTTGGAAATTCCAACGAAAAACATAAAGTCAATTACACGAGTGAATAAAAGCAAATACTAATATTTGCACGCGCAACTTACCACTATAATATTGTCCTACTTATAAAATATCCTTTTCAAAGAATTTCTATAAAGATATATTAACATCATCCATTTGAAAGATAATTGCAAACAGTGTCCACAAATGTTGGCTCTTATCTGCGTTACATATTTCATTATAAATAAATAGCACACACATATTTTTTCTTATTATTAATTAATCAACAATAATCGGCTCACCTATTTAAAAAGCATGTGTCACATAGAAAAATATCTTTGTCATCTAGAAACGATATATGTATACGCGCTTGATGGCACATTTAACGAAACTGCAGGAAAAGAAAAATATGTCAGAATATCGAATTAAGCACGTATGCTGTCGTTGAAACGCGACGATAAAATAATTTATAATTTTAAAAGATAAAATTGTCACATAGTGAAGAAGCGTAATTACCGCATCTATGGTTCGTCGTAAATCAAGTTAAAACACATCGTAAATTATTAAATATTTTCTAAAATTGTATAAAAATATTTTATGAAAAAAAGATTATTTTTGGCACTGGCTTCATGTCTCTGACATGATTGTCTTTTTCGTTTTGCACAGACATGAGAAAGATAAACTCAGTATGGCCAGTATGTTTTATTGAATAAAAAATAACAGAAAAAGAAAAAAAAAAGAAAGAGACAAAACATTACGTCTCTATCTCTATTTTTCCCAAATCATTTAAAGTTTAACGTTTCCTGTGAGGAAGACATGGAAGATGTGAGATATAAAAATAATAATAAATAATTAGTAAATAGTAATAGTAAAAAAATAATAATAATAATAAATTAGTAAATAGAGTAATAAAGTAATAGATAAACACAAAATACAATTTATTTCATATCAATGCACTTTTATATACATACCAATTATTATTATCGTGCAGATAAGAAAAGGAAACAATCCAATTTTTTCTTTCTTTCGTAATTGAAATATATAAGCTATAATATATATTTTAACGAGTGTGCTTGTAATGTCAATACGTATACGTAACCAATTCTGAGCTTATCTCTATATGTCTACATCTTTTCACCTCTACTATATACGTAACATAGTGCACTATGAATCATCAAGCGCGTGAAGGTACTACAATGTTCCGTCAATCAATAAATAAACATATATAGATTATAAATATATTTGACCGTAATATCCAAGAAATAAGCTAGAGATTATTCACCGATATGATCTGATTTATCCAACCGATATATGAGGAGACCTTTACGTACACTCCCGGCACGTTTTGACGACCGCAGCCGAATCCCCAAGACACCAGGCCAGCCAGTTCGTAGAAGCCGTCGTCTTGGCATACCAGAGGACCTCCACCATCGCCCTAATTGTCCACGAACGTAATTCATTAGTTTTTCGTCAAACAAAATATTTTTAGAGAAAAATCTTATGCCAAACGCTAGGCAACTATGCTTTAACATGTTATTAAGTATGCATATAGCTAATATTTTTCTGGGCATCAAAGAAGAGAGCGAGTATACCTGACACGCATCATTTCCCTGCTCGCCGCCAGCACAGAAACTGCTGGCTGGTAGAATGAAGATTTTCTCAGTCACGGCGTTCACTTTTCTTATGCATTCAGCATCGCTGACGATCGGTATCTCCGCTTCGCGTACTCGAAGGGGTATAGGACCGGCTGTGGAACAGTCATACGTTGTAGCGTAAACAGTCAAATACACATACTGATGTTCGTTCTTTGAAAAAAGGAATGCGTGATATCAACGGCATATGATGATATGGACTTACCTTCTCCCATGTATCCGTAACCAGTAACCGTACACCTTTTGCCAGCGGTATGACTGACACCCCGTGCCGGCAAGCAAACCAGACAAACTCCATCTTTCAACTCCGCTTGACCGTGAAGTTTCAGCAAAGCGATATCGTTATCGAGTGTCTGGCTGTTGTGATTGTGGTGGATGTACGTTGTCGCGACGCGCAAGGTCTGAGCACCCGGGCTTCCGTACTTACGGGTGAGATCGTGATCGCCTACCCTCACGTAGATCGCGTCGCCGGACCTCACGATGCTGGAAACAAGCGCTTTTTCAGACTTTCCTTAGCTCTCCGATTTGTTCCGCACGTGCGGAAAACTGTAAGCATTTACTCAATTTTACTGTAAGCACGCGACAGACAATATTTACTCACTTCGTGACGCAATGCGCAGCCGTGAGGACCCACTGCGTCCCTATCAGCGCTCCTCCACATAGGTACTGGTTGAGGGAGTTTATCAAAGCGACCTGCCAACACCACTCGTTAGCATCCGCGTCCTCACCACCTACCACACGCGCGACTCTCTCAGAGCTCCGTGCTTGAATCGGACCGCGTGAGGTTCCTTTCACGCCACAAACGTATTTACTGTATACCGGACTTCTAATGGTGGTGGTGGTGGTGGTGGTGGTGGTGGTGACCGTCGTCGTCTCATCTGTAAAATTGACAATCTTTTAACGTACACGGATCCTGATCCACCGAGTAAATGATTTTTGCAATTCCTAATAGTTTCGCAATTCTGACTAGTTTTGTAGTCTCTACACAAAGTAATGATAAATTTCTCAGATAAATGTTGATAAAAGAAAGCCCAGCTCCGATGACCTTGATCTTGACAGAGTCAGGATCATGACCCTGAACAACATTCAAAAGATTTTAGCTGTAGCTCGTTCTCTATTAAAAAATTATTAACAAAAAAAGTTTGAAAAATATAGAAGTTATTTTGAGTAGTGAAAGACATAAATGACCACGTAAACGACTAATATGTATATATGTGGAAATAGTATATAGTATATACCTACCTGTATGAGCGAAGGAAAGTCATTTAAAGCAGTAAATTAATATATTAAACAGTCTTTTGTTAAGGTGGTTCATGCATTTAGGTCAAATGTAGTTAGCCCGGAAAATGTGATATGAAATGAAAGATTAACGTTCCTAGTGTGTCTGTAAAATTTCGGATTTTTTAACCGTTTGGTTCCGGAGATATATGTCCGTAAACTTTGCCAATTTAACGCGGAGGGGTAGCCCTCTTGCAAAAAACGAAGCTAAAGCGCTTATGCTGCAAAAATTACGATACTTCAAAAATAGATGAACGAACCAAAAACTGACGAAACGATACAATAAACATTTTGCAAGATACTGGACGAAGCCCGAGTTCATTACCGTACTATAATAATAAAACGTAATTTTCGATTGACTAAATCGACAACACGGAACTGACAGCTGGACTCGAGCGGCATTAGCGGCAGCTTGGCAACGCATATGTCAGCTGATGAGTATAGCGCATATCCCAAAACATTCAACGTTTACCATGTTCTGGACGCTGAATAAAGCAAAGAGTGAAACAAAAATATTCGTCCATTTCTAAAAAGAATTAAAATTAAGTTTGATCAAGATCTGCAATACTGAATAAATACAAGTTTTAATACAATGAGGTTATAAAATGTCTAAATAATTTTAACATGCATTCCCGGGAAAATATGATTAGATATAATCATATATAATTATATCTGGTATATATATAATTATATATAATTATATATGTTTTTATATGGGGTCATATCTAATTATACATGGCCACATGTGCAATCAGTGGTCCTACATACAACCAGATATAGCACCATATCTACTTGTATATAAATGTATATAATTTTATGTGAAGCCAGATATAATGATATATGAATGGTGCACCCTACATATAACAAGATATAGCATTATATACAACTATATATGCAGTCATATATATTAATGTGACTAATTTGGCGCTATATACAACCAGAAATAGCGCTATATCTAATTGTATATAAATGTATGTGAAGCCAGATATAATGATATATGAGTAGTGCACTCTACATATAACTAGATATAGCATTATATACAACTATATATGAAGTCATATATAGCCAGATATATTAATATGCTTAATCTTGTCCTATGTACAACCAGATATAGCACTATATCTGTATAGATATAGATTCGCAAGTTATCATATATGCTGCAGATATTTAATCCTAAATTTAAAAATTTATTTGAATTGTTTTTATATATATTATAGATATTAAATTCAAAAATTCGTTACATAATATTATATAATTCAGTGTTATAAAATAATACTGCAGGTCATGTGTGCGTACCCGGGAAAAAAATTATATATAATTACTAGCTGGTTACCCGGGCTTCGCCCCGAAGGACATATGTAATCAGACACGCAAATAGTCTCTCTCTTTCTCTCTCTCTCTCTCTCTCTCTCTCTCTCTCTCTCTCTCTCTCTCT